GTCCTCTTGCCTCAGCCTCTTGAGTAACTAGGACTACATGCATGCTCAACCACATCTGGCTAGTTTTTTTTTTTTTTCTATCTATTTTAGTAGAGATGGAGTCTCACTCTTGCTCAGGCTGGTTTTGAACTCCTGAGTTCAAGAAATGAACCCTCCCAGGCCTCTCAGAGTGCCAGGATTACAGGTGAGAGTCCCTGAGTCCAGCCATAAAGCCTTTCTTTCTACCTGTACCTCATTCCAATTAGTTACAAGTGAAACTTTAGAAACTGAAATGACACCGTATGGCAAGTATGGCCCAGCAGTGGGGCCCCTATTGCCATATGTAGATGAGAAAACCAATTCTAATGGTTTTCCAATGCTGAATGAAGATTCATTCTTTAGAGCCGCTATTATGTCACGTGTCCTTGTTCCTCAGGAGACAGAATATGAAGCAATGCTTGCTTGCTAACATTTTATTAAGAGTTATAATCCTACAGTGACAAAAATAAGGATGAAAGGGAAGTGAATCAGGGAAGGAGAGAGGGAAATCAAAGATTGTGCATGATTAAGCTGACCACGTCTTCAGAAGAAAACACTGCCAGTTGCTCAGTCACAGCCACTGGACATCACCTGACAGGCCAGATGGAACCCGTTTAATCTATATGTTGGGTCCCTTCCATCTCTTGTCTTTTTTGGGTCAAAATTTGCCCCAAGCTTTGCCTCCCATTCATTTCTGAGTAGAGGTACCTGGCCCCTGTAGGCAGATCCCACGTGTTATGGTGTGAGTTGCCATCTGAGTCCAGAAAAGGTGAGAGGAGCCAGGACCTCCCCAGATCTGCCGTGGCATGAGTCCTGTGACAAACCTGGGAAATATCAAGGGAAACCATGATATTAGGACTGTTAGGAGGGCCATGTGACACTTCAGAGGTACAGAGATTAAGTCCAGTACAGAAATATTGAAGACTAGAATGCATAATGCAGGATTTCCAATGTGGAAAACCTGCCCACACTGTCCCTGGAACCTCTAGTTGGGGATTAATACTTCTAAATCCCAGCTAGCAGATAATGTGATTCCGACTAAGTCACAAAACCTCTGAACTTTTCAAACAGGGCAATTATATTTACCTCACAGAGTTGTGAGAACTGCATTAAAATATGATGCAAAGAACATTTTTAAGTTACAACAAGTTGCATGTATAAACATGAGAGGCTGTTGTCATATCTAAAGATTGAGGTTGTATACTGAACAAAACATCATAACTGGTTTAAGCTGGAAAAGCCTTAAAATATCCAGGGGCATTTTGACCTCACTTGACCAATAGTGGCTCCATTTTGAGTTTCATTTCTTGACTTCAAACTCTTGATGAGTCACTTAGGAGTCCTTCGTCCATCATTTCCTACTCCCTTCCCCCTGACTATGAGGCATCCCAACATTTTTGCTCTTTTATACCCAGCATAGAATGTTCTGACTTGCCCCTGTGAGGTGCTATGGTATAAAGCAATCAGCTAATGGGACAAATGCCCATATCTCTGCCCAACAGGTTACCAATGCTTGAAATGTTCCCCACTTGTAGGAGGGGGACCTTTGCTCCTTCCTGCCTCCATTCCCCAGTCCTTCCCTTCACAGTGCAGCTGAGAAATGCCAACAGACAGCAAGTGACTGGTTTTATCTGTCATCACATCTCACTGATTGAGGCACAGATCTGCAGCCTCTATGTGGAGAAGCGCTCTGGGGCAGTGCTTTGAAAGAAGGACGCTGCTAGGACACCAGTCTGAAAGCTGGTTTGCAGAGCAAACAGTTTAGACTTAGAGTGTGTGTTTACTTGGGGTGACTTCAAGGTGCCTGTGATACTGGGGAAAAACTCAGTATATGTTTCTTCAAGGAATATGCATGGTGTCTGACGCTCCACTCTGTGTCTAAAGCCCCTGGTTCTCTCCCCCAACCTAAAAAAAATAGCATTGTCCAGTCCTTGAAGGGCCTTCTGGAAAGACCCGGAATTAGTCAAAGCGCTTGCAAAGGGCTTCCACCAGATGAGCAGAGCAGCCGCGCAGAGCCTAGATGCTGCCGGTGAGGCTAGGAGCTGCTTGTTTGAAGAGCCATAACTGGGCTACTTCCCAAAGAACCGACTTGTTGATAACCATCTTGCCTCAAAGAGGAGTTTGGCGATGGGTGCGGGAAGGCTTCGTCCAGGGCTGCCGCTTCTCCTTCCCAGACATAGCCCTATTGGAGAAGAGTTCGGCTGCTAGGCCTGCAAAAGGGAGGACAAGGCCAAGAGGGGTGGCCTGCACCTTGTAGCACCGGCACCTGGAGAGCCTGCAGGGAGTGGAGCGGGGACAGGCCCCAAGGATGGAGTACAAAAAGGGGTCTCCACACACCTCAGTCCTCACTACCTTCTCGGAGTCTCGGGAGAAACTTGGAGGAAGGGCAGGCAAGGGACAAGACCCCCTGGAACTGGGAATCCTCAACCTCCAGTGAATAAATAAATTATTAAGCGCCCAATACACAATAGCCTCGCTAGATGGAGACGAGGAATCACTGCAGCTGCGCTGCCGGCGGCGGCGGGGAGCGCGGGCGGGAGTGCAGCCCCGGGCGGGAGGCGGGCGAGGCTCTGGCTAGGCTCACGTCTGTTTTCTTTTTCGTGCTTTATTTATTTCGCCTCCGCCCGCGATTCTGCTGCCCGAGCAGGCTGTCCAGGCCAACGCCTCCCGCAGCTGCCTCTCGCGCGCCCGTGAGAGGGGCGCGGAGAGCTCGGGCACCCCAGCGCCCCAGGCAGCCGAGCGGCGCCACCGACAAGGGCGGGGAGCAGCCGCGGGCCTGGGGAGGGCTCTCTTGCCGGCTCCAGGCGGCTCCGAAGAGACTTTCCCCGCCCTCCGCCTCCGCCTTGCTAGCCCTCCCCGGCCCAGGGCGCGGGGTGCCGCCCCTCCCGCCCCACGCGCGGCTAGGCACAGCCCGGAGCCGCCGCGCCCTGCGCCCAGAGCCCGGTGCGAGGGCGTCGCTCCGGGTCCCCTGCTTAGCCGCCCCGGAGGCCCAACCCGCGCGCAAACTTTTGCTCCAGTGCCTGGCGCTCCGCCCCGGCATGTGAAGCACCCGAGCGCCTGCACAGCCCCCAGGGTGAGGACCGAGGCCCCGCCTTGAGGGCGGAGGACTGGGGAGGCGGCTGGCTTTAAATGGGGGCCGTCCGGCGGCTCGAAAACAGAGCTGTCGTGGGGGGAAAACGCGGACCTCTCTTCCCCACGCCGGGGATCGGCTGGGGCTGCCGCCAGACAAGGTGGCGTGAGGCATTGGAAGGGTGCGGGCGGAGGTGGAGGCGTAGGGGGAGACCCTCGCCTGGGAGCCGAAGATTGGAGCTGGAGGGTGCAAAAGGGGGTGCGCATGGAGGTGCCTATATGTTGCAGTGTGCGCAGTGAGGCCGGCAGGGCAGAGAAGGTGCACGCAGTGTGTGGTTTCTTGGTGCTGTGCCTGCAGGGTCAGCGAGTGTGCAGGCAGCAGTCGGTGGGTGTGCACGGCTGTTTCTGTGGGTTTGCGCGCAGGGTGAGTGGTGCCCGCCGGGTTTGAAGTGTGCTCTTGGTAAGAGTGAGTTGTGCATGGCTGCTTCTGAAAAGTGCATGGGGCTCCGTAAGTGTGCCTGGCTGTTTCTGGAAGTGTGCGTGGGGCCAAAGTGTACACGCAGTGTTCTGGGGGTGTACGCGGAACTAAGGTGTCTAAACGGGGCTCTGGAACTGTGTACCCGGATAGGGTATGAATTCTAGGATGCATGAAAGGTCAGTGAATGTGCAAGCTGGAGTGCAATTCCGGGCTTGGTTTAGGTGGGTGCCCCAGAGTGCGGGACGTGCCTGCCCAACCTGGGCTGGAAGGGGTGCCGGTGTGCGGCCGCAATGCTGCCCTCGGCGTCTATGTGACCCGAAGCTTGCTCTCCTGACAGTTCGCCCTAGGACGGGCGCTGCGGGCCGAGATGCTCCTCCGGGACCTGGTGCTGCGCCGCGGCTGCTGCTGGCCCTCGCTGCTGCTGCACTGCGCTCTTCACCCGCTCTGGGGCTTCGTGCAGGTGAGACGCGCACCAGCTGTCCACTGGCTGCAGGGAGCCTGCCGGGTGAGGGGGAGCTGTCTCTTCACTCCCCTACACGACACACTGCCTTCCTGCAGCAGCCCCACTGATTGGTCCTCAGGAGAGTTTGGGAGAAGAAATCATTCTTTTCCTAAAAGAAAAGATAAGAAACTCGGGTACTCTGGCCCTGAAAAGATGAGAAACTCCAAAGGGAGGCTTCATTTGTGGTCCAAGGCCTGCAGGACAAGGCCTTGGAATGGAAAGGGGCTCTGGGGATCCCCTCTGATGATGGCATTCTATTGCAGGAATTCAGGAAAAGAAACAAACTTAAAAAGAAAAATGTTCCCAAGAATATACATTCTTTATTTCCCACTAGAACCAATGGTAAACTTCAAATTTCTGAAATGAGTGAGTCTTCAACACAGGAGGGGGCCATGTTTCTTGTAGGTAGTGGAGAGGGGGATGTGAATAGATTATGCACGGTGACCACTCTTGGGGAATGTGAGAAAGAACTGGCCCTCTGTCAAGACTGCCTGAATCCCTCACCCTGGGTCCCTAGACCCCAGCATAGAAGCCAGATAGGCACCAATTAAAGTTACTTCTTAGGGTCACAGAGAGGGTCAGATGCGACAGTCCCTAACCAGCACCTCCCCAAAGGTACAGGGTCAGTAGTGCAGTGGAGAGTAAAAAGGTGGACTTTGGTGTCAGCTCTGGATTTTGAACCTCAGCTTCTTTGCTCTTCACCAGCTGGGGGACTTTAGGCAGCCCACTAACCTCGATGGGCATTGGTTTCTTCTCCCTGACTGTGCTATTGTAAGTGCTTGATGAGATAAACGAAATAAAGATTACTTAGAACAGGACCATAATGAACACTTACACAGTAGCTGCTGCTGCCATTTTTGAGATGAGTAATAGTAATGCCGCTCTTCTGTCTGGCTTGCCAGGTATTGTGCTGATCACTCTGCAGCCTCTTTGACATTTTTGAATGCTCTGAAGGGCATTTTTTCCTGTTTGGGGGCATTGAAGGACTCACCCTTGGGTATTTGCAGCTTCATAGTCTCCTGGTGGCACTTTCGGGATTGGGGACTGCTCAGATGGCTGCTCTGAGTAAGGGTGACAGACCAAAGAAGGGATGGGGCAAGACTCTTTGCCAGTCTGCCCCAAGTGGTGGTACCCTGCTGGGATCTGCTCAGTCAGTCCTGCTTGGATAGTGGCCTAGGTGACCATCCATAGAGAGCCAGGGGCTCCGCTGCTGGTCAGCATCCCTCCACCCCCAAGTGCCAGACCCATCTTCTGCTTTCTTCTCTGGCTTGCCTGTCTCACTCACAATTGTTTTCCTTTTGGAATTGACAGCTTTGTTTAATGTGTGAAACAGCAGTTATTAAACTCAGCTGTGCTTCCTCAGGAACCAGGATTTTGTCACTTCTAAACACTTGGGTGGTTTGGGACCAGCTTCCTTTATTCAACTTTGAACTGAACCTCACATATTAAGTTCACTTAGTTTTTATATTCATTTGTTTACAATTTTCTCTCTTCTTTAAGACTTCTTCAGCTAACATGGAGAGGAACATGATGAGGTTGTCAGTCTCCAAGACTAAAATTCTACTGTGTGAACTGGCCAGATCTTAACAGAAGAACCACTGCCACTCCACACTCTGCTGTGACAGCAGCTCAGTTTTTTAACACTGTCTTTCAGCTGGGCAGTACACAAGCAATTTTGTGTATTTCAGATGCTCTTACTCAATACAAATCAATTCTCATGAAAATCAATTAGAAGAGGGATCCTCCAGACAAGTTAGAATGAGTAAAATCTTGGCTTGAGTCTCTGGAAAAATTAATTTACAAATGACAGGAACAGGGAAACCAAGGGAAAAGAGGTTTTGGAATGAATGGATCTAGCATTTAAGCAAAAGAGCTGAATGCAGGGGAACGCAGGAGAGAAGAGAAAAAATGGAAGTGCACAAAGCCTGTGTTTAAGTGGAGGGAATAAAATCTGTCACATCCTTGGAGTTTCTCGAATATTGAGACAGACTTAGAGCGATTTGTCCTTTTATGAGCATTTTGCCAGAAGAAAATGCCCCAGAGTGTTAACCATTTGGAAGGATGGGGCCAACCAAATAAACTCATATGATTAATGGGTCATTAATGAGGGAAGAGATCTGGGGTCCGCCAAAGCACCAGATTCCTACCTTGAAATCAGCCCTAAGCCTCTGGCTGCTTCTGGATGATTAGAAACTTAATCATTAAAGTCATATGACATTTAAATTGCCAGAAGAGTTGGTGGGAGCATTCCTTAACCTTTCCTCCTTTTGCTTTAATGTGTCTGGAATTGAGATTTTGAGCTTTAGTAATTTAGGGTTCTTCTAAGTTCACTTCCAGATGATTCCATTTTTTTTTCCAAGGGAAGAGGATGACAGGCTAGAAAATTTATTTGGTGTGACAGGAGTGTGTCTCATCAAGTTACTGTGGTTCTGGCCTGTTTCCATAAAAGATGCCAGAAGCCATCATCTTTGTGGTTGCCTTCCTAAAGTACTTGTCAGGGAGGCAGGCTCTTCTCTGGCTTTATTGGTCTCTGTGCTACTGAGGAGCTACTCCAGACCCAAGGGATGCTGAACCCCTTCTACAGCCAGTCACTGCAGCTCGAATTTTTTTAGTTAGCAGCATTTATGAGGCACCTACTATGTGCCAGACCCCATGTTAAGTGGGAGGGGCTTCATAGTCCCTGCCCTCATGGCATTGATGCTTTGATACCATAGTGCCAATTGAACAAGTAATTCTAGACAAGAGAGCTCAACAGGAGCAAATGGCTTAGACCTGGGGCGAGAGTCAGAGAAGTCTCCCCGATGAAGTGCTTCAGCTGGGGCTTGAAGGATGGGGTATCAGGATGCAAGAGAGGGACAGACCAAGCAGAAAAGGGAGCATTAGAAGAAATCAGGAAAGGAAGCCTCAGGCAAGGCCACTGTTGTAAGCTACTAACAGTGTCTTGCAATTTGGACTTGATCCTTAAGGCTACTGACATTGCCCAAGGCTTTAAGTAAGAGATGACATGATGTCATAATAGCAGTTTAGAAATCTCAGCTCAGCTTCAACAAGGGGGATGGATTCAAGGAGGTGACCAGGGATGGGGCAAAGAGTTAGTGAGGGCAGTGTTGCCAGATTTAGCAAATAAGAATATAAGATGTTCAGTTAAATTTGAACTTCAGATGAAATGCAAATGGTATTTTAGCATGAGTATATGCCATACAATATTGGGGGATATTCTGCTAAAAAACTGTTGTCTATCTGAAATTCAAATTTAAAAGAGTATCTTATGTTTTATCTGTCACCTTTAGGGCAGGGGAAAGTGCTTCCCTGCAGAGATATGATAGTGGCCTGGTTTAGGTGGCAGCAGAGAGAATGGAGAAAACTGGATGAATTCAAGTACTGTTTAGGAGGCAACATCCACCAGACCCAAAAGCTACATTGATTGGCCAGGTGTGGAACAGTGGTTGGATAAGGGGGTACCATTGCTGAGAACAGGCAGCCATGGAGCACTGTGTCCCCCAGACCTCAGCAACTGGTACCAAATCCAGGTGACCACAGGACCTGCCTGTGCCTCTGCCCAGACTACAGCATTTATGTAATTCTGGCACGGCTGAACAAAGGCAGGAAGGCAAACAGGGGCAAAAAGGCATTCATTGCAAAATTAGAATAAGAAGTGGTCCCAGTAGGTAGGAAGACTAGCTTTTGTTTGTGGGCTTTAGGAAGTGGTGGACCTCTCTGGAGTTTCCTAGTCAAGTCCAGCTAAGAGCAGGTGATATCCGACAAGTTCCTTCTACTTGTGGAACTCCCCAATTTAGAAACCAACCATGCTGAGTGCTGAGACAAGCTTTCAACACTTGAGGTTTCCTCCATATTGGTGTAAAACACAACACTGCCCATCAACAGAATCCCAAAGTGGAACCAGAGTTGGGAGACAGGACAGATCCCATGTTTCTCCACTGACCGGCAGACCTTCCCCCAACATGCCATTTCACTGAGCACCAACTGAATGCCGGCCCGGTGCCACTGTGGTACATTACTTAGGTTCTCTGAACCTGCTGCCCCTCCCATGTTAAATGTGGATCATAACACTGACCTCTCTTACTAGCTCCCTTGGTGAAATGAGAGCATGTTCCCATGGCTCAGGAAGTCACTTCTTTTCAAGATTAGTAAAGCACAGACTCATCTGCCTGTCTGACAACTATTGACACTGACAACTTAGTGCGGAGAGACAGGCATTACAAACAGTGGGGAAATGCCCCCATGGAAGTCTCTGCGAGGTGAAGGCAGCTCTGGGCGGTTGGGTCTCATTCCAGGATGGCGTTGCCCTGGAAGGCTCTTTGAGAGATGGGCTTGAAGGAGGAAAAGAAGGAAGCCAGTGGATAAAGGGTCCAAATAACCCCTATCGGTCAAGAGGGGCTTAGCTGCTTCTGGGTTGTGTTGAATCAGGCTATCAGGAGAATCTATTGGGGACCCCAAGGGGTGCCCACCTCTCAGGAAGAAGGACAACCAGACCAGACTTGATCATTTCCAGAGAACCGTTGGTTAAGGAGTTGTGCCACTCCCATTTCAGCGGGGCCTTTCTGTGAGACACCTGGAAACACAGATTTTTGAAACACAGCGTGCTCCTTCCCTTCCTCCTTCAGCCTTCAACCTGGCCCCAATTTCTCTGCCCCTCACTTCATGACATTAAACACTCTTATACATCTGCGCCTTTATATCCTTGTACAAAAATAGGTCATTGTGTCAGGCTGGGTTAAACAAACGTGCTCCTCTTGAACTCTCTGGCATAAATTGCACCTTGGAGAGTGGGAAAGTAATTGCTCTGGAGAAGCTATTGCTTGAAGTTCACACACTTGGTACTGTGCAGTGGGGAAGTGCCCCCAGAGGCCAGCTGTTGGGAAAACGGAGCTTTCTGGCAACCCCAGGGTCTTAGAAGGTTGAAATCCAGAGAGGGGACAGGCTTAATGGCGGCAGACCTGACAGATGCTCTGGTGGAGAAGTGGTGGATTTACCATGGACTTGTAAGCAGTTGATCAGCTCCGTAAAATAATTGAGAAAAGGCTTACCAGCAGAGGTTATGCTCTTCCCGCGGAGAGATAAAATTGCCTTCCAGGGCTTGAAACACCGTCAATAGTCCTTTAAAATCATTAAAAGGTGGCAAGCAGGAGCCTCTTGGCCTCATAGATGTTAGGTTAGGGCCCTAAGTCAGTCTGCTTCCTGTGGCCACCCCGGTGGACATTATCCACGTCACATCTGCTGAGTGTGAAGGGAGCGTCCCAGCCCTGCGGTCTCTCCCTGCCATGCAGCAAAGGGACTGGACTTGCCTCCCAAGGCGGGTCGCACATGGTTGGGTACAGGGAAACTGGGGTTCTGGGTTTCTGTTTAAGCAGAGATGACAGAGAAATTAACCGTGGCCCTTGTTGAGATGAGGATGACCGGCAACTCCTTCTTTCATGTCTTTAAATCAGCTTGTGCCTGGGACAGGAAACAAAACGCTAGACTTGTGGATTCATAGCAGTCTTGTGTAAGGAGGGACGTTGGCGGCCAGCTAATCCATCCACCAGCTTAAGCAAAATACCTAGGCCCAGCTCCACCTGCAAAATCCTGATGTAATCAGTGTGGGTAAGGCTCAGGCATGAGGGTTTCTTGTTAAAGTTGCCTGGGAGATTCTGAGGTGCAGCCAGGGCTGGGAAGTGCTGGTCAAGCACAGCTCACTCTGTGCTCTTCCCAGGTTATAGACACGGAAACCGAGGTCACTGGTGCCAGGTTCTAATGTTCATTCATTTACCAAATAGTTTCCAAATGCTAAGCATTCCCTTCTGGGCTAGTTTATGATAGTGTGAGGAGAGATTAAAAACACCTGCCCTGCCCTCTGAGCACTCACAGTCCCATGGTGACGACAGGTGTGAATGAGGTAATCACTCAAATGTGGATTTTCATGCTCAGAGAGTAGAACCTGGTGTCAGGAGAGCCTATAAAAAGGGACCTTCCCTGGTTAAGGAGGTCAGAGACACTTCCCAAAGGTGACAGCCAAACTGAATAATGGGCATAGCAGGAGAAGGGATGGGAGAACCTTCCAGCAACTGGAGCAGCACATGCTGACCAGGGTCCAGGAACTGAAAGGAGGGCATGCAGGTGGAGGGAAGGTGGGAACAAGGGGCGAGGTAGGACCCTGTGCAGGCCCTTGTGGGCCATGCAGTTGTTTGGGTTGGAGATGGTTTCCCACAAGGCCACTTGGATACTCCATGGAGAGCACCAGGCATGTTGCTCCTTGGTCACACAGGACGTAAAAGCAGCATCCTTGCTGGGTAAGATTCCTCCCCAAGATAGAGGGGCCTTGCTTCAGGAGCTGTGGCTGAAGGGAAGGCCGAGCTTCAGAGCTTGCCCTTGCACTATAGCAAGGGAGGTGGAAGAAGCAGTTGGCCTTCAGTTATTGAGGAGGTAAAATTGTAGTATCCTGTCATCATCTAGCTGAGAGGCCCTTGGGCAGCCACTTCTGACTGGGCCTCAGTTTTCTCATCTATACAAGTGGAGAGATTCTTGAGTTAGCCTTCAAGTTCATATCTCTCTTTCATTAATATCCAAGTCACTTGCCCAGGGTCCCGCAGCTGGTCCCTGGCAGTGTTAGGAGAAATCCTTAATCTCCAAATCTGCCAGACCGTTCTCCCACAGCATCATCCCCTTTGGACCCGCCCGATGGCTGTGTGCTGCCTCCCTTGGTCTCTGAGAAGAATCCCAAGCTCCAGCCTGGTGGGGGAGGGGCCTGGTGGCCCAAGCCCAGTTCACCTTCCGTCACCTCATTAATCTTCTACCTCTCTTGGGTGTGTGTACCCATGTCTGCAGGTGACGCACGGGGAACCCCAGAAGTCCTGCTCCAAGGTGACCGACAGCTGCCGACACGTCTGCCAGTGCCGGCCTCCACCCCCGCTGCCCCCACCACCCCCGCCCCCGCCACCTCCCAGGCTGCTCTCCGCCCCAGGTAGGTAGCGGCTCACTCCATTTGGGGGTTCTTCTCTGTGTTTTCTGGGCCCACAAAGAGCTGGTGAGCATGGCCGAGGGCAGCTCTGCTTCCTTTGTAATTTTCCACTGGCTGAGCAGGAGGGAAGCCAAGGCCCAACTTTTCCCTGCAGTCTGCAAAACGTCTTTCCCACAGAACACTCCTGCAAGATGGAGAAGGCTGTTTCTCCATCAGTTAATCAGATAAAAGTCAATCTCCATTTGATGAGTGACTCGGCCTGGATTGTTCTGAAGACCAGGTCTTTAAAGGGGGCAGCCGCTGGGGACTGGTCCTAGATACCTTCCCCACCCTCCCGGATGGTTTTAATGTTTTGATTTTAATTCCCATTTACAGAGGCAATTCGAATAGAACCAAAATCAAGGCTCTGAGAGCAAAGTTACCATGCCTTTTGGCCATTTGCACTGAAGTCTGCTAAATCCTCTCTTTGACTTGTTTGCCTTGGACGATTTCATCTTTGAACAATTTGACTGCCTGCTCATTCAAACATAAGAGTGTTTCTTTAGCCAGAAATGGCCTCAGCCCTGACTTCTACATGGTAAAGTTCCCTGCTTACAATTACTAGTTGATAAGGTCTCTAAAAAGGAGATTCTCTATTTTAGATGGATCCTTCAAGTTTTAGCCTTTAGAAAGCCTGGGATTCTGTCTGGATCTACCTCACTAAACACATCTCCATTGAATAATTTGGGATGTATATTAAATAACCTTGGTGCAAGGCTTGTTCTCTGGTAAACTGTGTTTCCAGCCACTTGGTATCCAGTCAGTGATGCAAAGTTATAGGGGATCTTTGCAGTTTGTGTGAATTTTGCTGTTTCGTCTGCAAGGCCGCTACCTGTCTCCATCCTTACCTGATATCCTGTAGCCCAGGGCTTCTTCCAGTGTGGCCCTCACACTACCTGCTTTGGCATCCCCTGAAGCATCTGTGTTAAAGTGCACTTTCTCAGGCCCAGTTCTAGCACACTGAGCCAGATTCTTTGGGGTAGGGCTTAGCAATTGTCACCGTAACAAGTTCTGAGATGATTCAAATGCAAGGAAGAGGTTAGAATCTGACAGGCCTTCTGCTCCAGGTCTCTGCATGACCCTTCCGTTCCAGGATGCTTGCTGGCCTCCTCTCTTCTCCCTGGGCCTGTTCAGTGGGGCCTGGTCTCAGGTTCCTGCTCCTAGAAATCACTCCCTTCCCTTCCTTTAGCATCCCTCATCCTCCCCCTTCTTGGGCTCCAGGCTGTGCTTTCTCCAGGTATGTCTGTATCTAGTGGATCCGCACCCCCTGCTCCCAGCTCAGGGCCTTCAGTTCATCTGTGCTCACTGAGCATCTGTGTCAGACAGAGGTGAAGGACAGTTCTGGTCTTCTGGAATCTCTCAACCCCACAGGAAGGGCCATCCTGTCAGCAACCCACAAAGAGCGTCCTGAGAGAATGCAGAAATTGTTTGCCAGGTACACTGGAGATTCTTGAGTAGCCAGACAAAACTACAGCTTCTGTAAATAGTAACACTAGCCTGGGTCTTGAAGACTAAATGGAAGTGTTCCAGGTTGATAAGGGGGCTGCAGGAAACAGGCATCCAGGCAAAAGGACCCCCACAGATAGAGGCTTGGAGGTAGGATTCTGTGACAATCTGTGAAACTCATTTTCAGAGTCACGAGGCTTTCAGTGGGTTGAAAGTGGTGGCCAAGGCTGGGTGTGCTGGTGTGCACCTGTAGTCTCAGCCACTCAGGAGGCCAAGGCCAGAGAATCACTTGAACTTAGGAGTTTGAGACTGAACTGAGCTCTGGTTGTACCACCACACTCCAGCCTGGGTGACAGACTCTATGTCTAAAAAAAATAAATAAAAATAAAAGGGTAACCAAGAGGGGTAGACCTTGAAGGGCTTTGTATGCCTGGCAGAGCAGATCATATTTCATCCTATGGGACATTGTTTGCCAAACAATGATCTATAGTCACCATATCCAAGTACCACCTCTTATTTGCCTTATTTTTTTTTCTTTAAATAGATTCTCTTTTGTGTTTCTAGAAATGAATTTCCAAAGACAGCTCTAACGACTGTAAATGAGAAGCCAGTATCATTCGCATAAATAGAAAGTGACCATATAAATGAATGCATTAAAAATAAATTCTTGCCTGCTGAAGAAAGTTCTGAGCTTGAAGCCTTTTCTCCTTTTGTTAAAAAGGGAGACGACCAAGTTGTAGAGTGGTGTCAAAGCCATAGTATAATCGTGCTGAGACTTTCTTTATAAAGTAATCAGAAGGTTCATAAGAAAATCAAAAGGGACTTAAGTTTCTTATTATAATATTCAGTGTGTTTGAGTACTATGTCCATGTGCCATCTAAAATCAGTTCACTTAACTTTAGGGCCCCAGGCTTTAGGAACCTCTGCTGTGGCAGTGATGAGCCTGTGACGGTGTGAAGCAGGGAAGTGATCCTGCTTCCTTTGCTTCAGAAAGATCAACTTTTTTGACCACGTGGAAGGTGGATTTGGGTTGAGATGCCAGACTGGAGCCCAGTGGGGAGCTCTTGAGATCATTCAGACCTCAGATCACCCAGGAATCCCAAAGCCAGGACTATGTGGGTTGAGAGGATCAAGTCTTCATGTTGAGCTTAAGGTTTGTGGATGCTCCTTGGTGAAAGAAGGGTAGGTATGATTTAATGCCACAGCAGGACATTTTCAGTTACCAATAGCAGAAATGAATCTCGAAGTGGCTTGAGCATTACAAAACACAGGGGAGATATTAGCTTATTGGGTCAAACTGCAGGATATCTCAGATCTGCTGGATCCACTGTCTCAAATGATGATGGTACTGGCTCTGTCTGCCTCTGCCTGCCTCTGCCTATCTCTCTATCTTTCTCTATCTCTTTCTCTTTTGGTTTCTCCTGGGTTGACTTTTCTCTTAGGCTGGCCTCAGCTCCTGTAGCTACAAGCTCTAGAAGTCTATTAATGTTATTATCAGTAATCCCCCTACACAGAGAGCTTTTCTTTCCCAATAATCCAATGAAATTCCTGGTGCTGACTTTCATTGGTCACCTTGGGTCACATGTTCATCCTTGGACCAATTACGGTGGCCTACAGGGATAGAATATGCTCACTGATCAGTCCTGGGCCATGTGATGACCCAGGAGTTAATGTGTATGGATAGAGGGTGAGGGAGTGGTGGTTTCCCAAAGGAAAATCAGGGCAGAGGGTCTGCAGCCCAAAGATGAGGATGTGAACACTGGGTAGGGAAGACAGGGGATGCATCCCACAGCCAAGTGCCTTGGAGCGTACGGCAGAGAATGTATTTCGTATGTCCCTTGGTACTCCCGGAGCTCGGCCAGAGCCCTGCACATGCATGAGTCATGCCCAATAAATGCCAGAGCTATGGCCATATCCACCATTTCTACTTATTATCAAATACAAATGCTTATTGAAAGAATTGGCTTCTCCCCGAGGACACAGGGCTTCAGTGCTGCGAAGCCTCTGTCATTGCTCTATATGTATGCTCTGAGCTTCAGGTATGGGGCACTGTGCCAGGGCTGGGAAGCTGGCCCTCATGGAGTTCATGGCCCAGTGGACTTTCCTCTCCTGCCATCTTTCGAGGTATACTGGCTCCTGGCACATGTTAGCCCTTGCTCCGTTTATTCATCTGGCATGTCTTGTATCTCTCCCATTCACAAGATCCTCTGCTTCACCTGGTAAACATTTGCCAACCACCTGCTCTGTATCCTGCCCTGTGTTGGACACACTGAGGGATATACAGGCACATGGAGGCCAGTTCCATGCGCCTGGTTGGCATGCCAACCACATACTTCCTCTTTATGATTTTAAGAAGACTGGCTCATGGACCACAGCTGCCCCACAGCATTGACTTGAGAATTCCTGTAAATGAGAAGTAGTTTGAAAACTGGACAGGTGTCCATAGCTGCTAATCATTGGCCCATACCATCCTGATGAAGAGCAACCTGAGTGCTGCCGGGGAGGGGATGTTTCATTCCAGAGGGCTAGGGAGGGAGGATCTGGGAAGGCCTGAGAGAATTCCCAGGCAGACCCAGGCTGGGCAGGAGTGGAGGGAGGGTGGTCAGGCCATGGAGGACATGGAGTGACCAAGGCAGAGGCCAGAATTAGGAGCCCAAGGATCAGGCAGGAGGCTCCCTGCTGAAGTGAAATTTATTTGCAGGAGTGTGGGCTTCTCTGTGTGCGTCTGGGATAGAGCGAGAAAGAGGGGGAAAAGAACCTCCTGTATGTGCAGACCTGTAAAGCCTCCCCTGGAAGTAATGGCCAGAAACATTTGCAGGAAGTGCTGCGTGTCCTTCATGTGGGTAGGTAGGCCTAACTCTTCATCTAGACAGCACCTACTGCCACCTTGCTGCGCAGGGTGACTGACTTGTCCTGGTTTGCCCAGGCCTCTCCTGGTTTTAGTCCTGAAAGTCCTGTGTTCCGGGAAAACCTCAGTCCTGCACAAACTGGGACAGTAGTTAACCCTCCCGCCCTCCCAGTGGCAAAGGGAATAGAGGCTTTTAATTCTTTTTGTTGTTGTTGTTATGTTTATTTGGGGGGTATTCATTTTGTTCTTTTTTGCTGTGGAACCTTCAAGTGCACTGGCTCCCCAAACTCCATCTGGAGTTCACTGCTCCAGAGAGCAGCTCAGCCTTCTCCTCCTCTGTGGGTGGCTCAGCTCTATGCCAGCCCTCCCAGCAGTCGGGTCCTGAGTGCTGCCTGCCACTGGGAAGGGGCATGGAATGGAGTCTAGTGAACTGGAAGGTTCCGAATAGCGTCTTCACATTCTGCCCTTGGGTTTCAAGCTCTGCCCACAATCCTCCCTCTTAAGCCAAAGTGGCACCTGGTCAGGGCAGCTACACTCTGTTGTGGGCCTCAGGGAGGCACTATACTAGTGGTTCTCAAACTTGAGTTCATATGAAAACCCTCTGGAGGACTTGCTTAAACACTGGACATTCCCAGTAGGCCTGGGGCAAGACCTGGGAACCTGCATTTTC